AGCCATGCACACAGAGCCCCTCCCCACCAGCCACTTTTCTGAGTGGCATATGTAGGGGTAGGCAGGACACCTGCCTGAGGCTTCCCAATACGTCCACATGCTAGATCTGGCAGCTTGGCCGTATTTTGCCCAGGCTTTCTCTATAGTCCGCTTGCTGACATGTCTCTGTTTGGCTGTACTGAAATACGGGGATAGGGTTGCCAGGTGTCCGGTATTCACCTGGACAGTCCAATATTTTCACCTCCTGTCCGGTAAAAAAAATTCAGAGAATACCGGACGCCTGAGATGTCTGGTATTTTCTGAATTTTTCTCCAGCCAAGAGGCAAAAATACCAGACTAAACAGGTGTTAAATCACTCTGCCTTTCATATCTGAAGGCCAGATGAAAAAAAAATCCAGGAAGCTGAAATATATGTCAGGAACATTGTAAAGTACATTACATATTATTGGTAATAAAGGTTGTCTGTCAACTTTTAAGTTCAAAAAATATGAACAGGAACATAACACCAAGTATACATGTTGTGTCCAAATATATTTATAACTGATTTAGACCAACTGACATTAACTGAGATTTTACAATGTATTCATCTCAATACATATGGATTCGTTGGGGGCCATAAAAGATAGATATTGCCAAATTACCCAGGGGGCCGTATTAAACCGGAACACGGGCCGCAATTGGCCCGCGGGCCGGACTTTGGACATGCCTGACCTAGGAGAAGCAATGCTTCCTCTGGGTCTTAGTACTCAACCTCTCCCCTGTTCCTATCCCTGCACTCACTCTTAAAGGGGAAAAGGGGACATACTGTTTTAATGCTGTTTTATTTTAATTATTATTTTTTTGTCTTAAGTCCTTGGAGTTCTTTTTTTGCTCAACAACTTTGGTCCCCCCCCCCCTCCCTTTTTTTCCCCCCTTCAACATAATTTTTCCCCGGTGTTTTTTTTGGGGGGGGGGGGAGGGGGCGGTGGTCAGCATTTTTGTTTCAACCATCTGTCAACCCTACATGGGGAACCAGAAGCTTACATCATGCCAAGTCCCAATGACAAGGCAGCAGTGCTAAGAGGTTCAGGAAGTGCCAGGTTTAACTCCACTCTGAAAACAAGGCAACACTCTTGGGTCAGGTTCAGGCTTAGGTTAGGCTTTAAAATTAGGCTTGTGCTGACACTGAGTCCTGCATTCAGAGGAACCTCTTTGGTTCCCATTGCTGCTGCCTACAAATAGCACAGGCCGCAGTTTAATACACTGCTCTCTCAAATTGGGTGTGGCACTCAGTTTACCTCAGCAATGAAAGGAGTGACTGTCCAGTGTGCTTGTGGCCTGAGGTACAGCCTGGGTTTGGATCAGGCAAGTCAAGAATTTTATTGGCTTTATAGGCTAGAATATGGCTCTGAACACAACTCAGTTACTCAGAGTGCTCCCGCCAATGCACAGAAAGTTGGGGAGAGGAAGCAGGCGTATGCTTTGGCCTTCAGGAGCAGCTGCAGAGCTGAGAAGGCTACTTCAGTACCGAAAGTGTTTACACACATCGTGTGCAATCCAGTGATATCACACCCAGTCCGCACCCTATGTGCTGCTATGCAAACAGCCTCTGCAGAATTGGCCCCCTTGCTATATACAAGGGATGTGCACTCCCTGTCCGAGCCTGCTGTGGCATCCAGCTCCCTTCCACTTACAGAGCAGAAATGCACTGCTCTGCTCCCGGGGGAACTCGGCACCCTCAAGGACTGAATCTGGATTTGACACTGGACAACTTGTTCTAAAAAGCTCTTTAGAGCTGCCATTATTTCTATTTCACATCTCCCCAGCTGCAGTTAACGTATCTTATATAACTCTAATTTGGCCTGAATTTCCATAGCTCAAAGAATGTATTTTTGGCCTGAGTCAACTTTTGTCATTCCTGTTTGTCAATGTGTTTCCTCACAGCCTCCACCACTGACCTGTTTGACACTGTGGGGAGGACATGTGTGGCGGTATGTCATATTTAGCATACGTTTGCAGTCCTGTGGTGGCTGTGTTCATCCCAGGAGATAAGAGAGACCAAGTGGGTGAGGGAATAGATTTTACTGGACCACCTTTTGTTGGCGAGAGTGACAAATGTTTGAGTTGTACAGAGCTCTTCTTCAAGTCTGGTTCTAGGTAGCTCAAAAGCTAGTTATTCTTTTACCTACAGAAGCTAAACATATTTTTTGCTCCACATGAGTCATCATTAAGAACTGGAGTTGTTTAGAGAAAAGCAAAACCAATAATCAAGGGGCAAGAGGGATTGTTTCACAGAAAAAAGAGTGTGGGATTAAGCAGCAACTGAAGGGGACATGGTAACCTTGGGAAAACACAAACCACTGAAGGTGATAGTGGGAGAATCAGCAGAAGTAATGGCAAGAAGCTAAGAGAAGGAAACTTTAAACCTACCTGAATACTTAAAAAGCTTGAAGTGAGCTAGGTGGAAGCCTACCTCCTGGAAAGTGGAGTCCTATCGCTTCCATGCATGAAAATAGGACAAAGTGCTAGAAAGTATAGGTTTTAAGTGCTAGAAAGTATAGGTAGGGAGAAATCCTGGTTTTGGCTTTGAGAGTGGGGTGCAGCTTCTGGATAAGGGGCAGCTCTGGAAAGAGCAGCTACATTAGGAAAAGTGAATTCCTCTGAATTGGCCCCGTAACACCATGGATGTGCATGGCTGGCTGGTTTGCTGCTTGCTGCATAGACTATAACATAGGACCCTGGGATTTGTGTTTTGTACACATGGTGGCTTGTACGTAGACCCTTGAATTCCCTCTCTCCTTTCTTGCCTCAAGTGCACTGTGCTCCCCAAGGGTGTGCCAAAAGAGTGGTTCAAGCATTATCTTTTAAGGACCACTCATCATCTAACTGGACATGTTGCTTTCATTTGTTGTTTTTATTCCAGAGTTTGTTGCATGCTTGGGACTAGAGTGGGGCAAACTAGGCTAGATCCTCGTTTGGTGTAAGTTGTGTAGATCATAAAGTCAAAGGAGTTGTGTCTGTTTATGCCAGACAGGGGTCCTGATAATTATTTGCAAAGAACAATTTGTTTAGCGTAGGAACCTGAAGGAGGGATGGGCGTTAGCCCTGCTTGTGACAAGACCAGCTCAGCTCCTCGCGTGGAGGAGAGCATGAGCATAGTGGGTCATGTGACCCAATCAGATGTGGAGCATGTAAAATAGTGACCATTGGAAAATGATTAAGTTGTTTAAATAAATGTGTTGCAATGGTAGAAAAAAATTGTGTGTGTCTGAAAACTGTAGGTACTGGGGGTACTTACAATTTGTTTTTGAAAAAGGGGTACTTTATATATATAAAAAAAGTAAGAAACACTGTCATGGGCCATTAAATTTCACCCAATTACTCCTGATGTGAGCCTGACAACTTGAATTCGGCTAAAGCATAATGTCCAGAAAGTCATCCTGTCTTGATCTGAGGACATCACAAGATGGAGTCTCCAGCACTTTCTGTGGTAATTCATTCGAAAAGTGGACCATCCTCACAGCTAAAATGTGTGCCTTATATCCAGCGCCTTATATCTGGTCTGGCTTGATCAGCTGTAGTCCTCTCTTCTGCTTACCATGTGTCTATGCACAAGCCGTGGTGTCCAATAATTTATGGTCACTTTTGTTAAATGAATATCAGCCAAAATATTTCTTTCTATGGGTTGCTTTTGAACTTGGTCCCTGGGAGAAATGCTAGCACATTTGATATTCAGAATTTAAAATGTTTTATGCTGCCTCTCCTAACCTTACTGTCTGTGTGAAGGGAATGGGTCAGCGTTGAAGTCGCACACTCCCTCAGTAGGACCTGGCCCAACCTGGGGAAGCTAATGATCCTACCAGTGGTCCAAAGTTGATGAATCCTGGTCACATGCCACTTAAGGCACATTGTGACTATGCTAAGAAGACTGCTTTCCATGTAAAATCAGGAGCAGTAGCAGAACTCCTAGTGGATTTTGCAGTGTCTTATGACGCTTTTTCCCTTTTTGGTGTCAGAACCCTGGATGGGATTGGGAAGATTTTGAAAAAAGATGTTATACATTTCCTGTCTTGTTTTTTATTTTCTTTGGAAGAGGTTTAGGGGTGGAAGTGGTATCAGTGTTGTTATGGCAGAAAGGATTTTATGAAGAGGAAATGATGGGCGGGCTCGTGATTGCAAGCTCAAAATGTACTTTCGGTAAATATTGTGCAACACTGACTTGCAGTTTGCTGTGTCCGTGAACACTCTTGCCAGTAATCTCACTCCAGAGAGTGTTTATGGGAAGATAGTACAAAAGGGGAGTGAACTGGGAGAAAAGAAAATCACTAAAAAATTCAACAGAAGACTAGTGGGGCATTTGTTTAGAACAGCTACAGATGTAGCATTAAGAAGGGACTGACTTTTGATGCCAGGGGACTAGGGACCATGCATAGCTGCTGATTTCTTCAGTTTTCCTGCTCATCTAGATGCTTGTTTAGCTCTGATTTGCTGTTGTATGTAAGAGTCTCACCTGCATTAAAAATCAAAACAAAAATAACTTTTTCTTTCTTTCTTTCTCTCTCTCTTTCCCCTCAGCCAGCAAGAGCTCAATTAGTTTATAGGGTAATTTGTTTGTTTATGCATGTTAGAGAGTGGGTGTGTGGGCGTATTGTGGGTCTGCACGTTGTGACGCTTTTACTGAGAGAGTGCTAATCAGATAAATGCATTTAGCATTTTGTTGAGAAAGTGAGGAAACCCATGGTTGTCGTTTTCTCCCTTTGGAGTGAACCCCCTGGTCTGGGTCCTGCAAACTTTCTGTCTCCTGCACTCAGGAGCCTTACATTATTGATTCACACATTCTGCTGGGACAAG